GGCTGATTGCGCCCCTCCCGCCGCCGGGTCGGCCCTCACCTCTCGTGGCATAGCGCTTGCAGTTCGGACACATTTTCTCTTCACGCGCTTCAGTTAGGTCGCTTTGCGAAACAGTTGGTAGCTACCTGTCCTTCCTCAGGCCACTTTTGCGGCCTGAGAATGAATGGGCCAACCCCGAGTATTCTAGGAGCTGCCAGGAGGACTTAGAGCTAGAGCTGAGGGCGCGAGGGCAGAGTAATTGAAGGAGGAATGGGAGACCGGATGGCGCAGGGCCTTGTGGGCGGTCCTTGTGGGGCAGTGAGCGCAGTGGGGGCTGGGGAGGGGCTCGTGGCAGAGGTAAATCGTGACCCGATTTACCGCTCCAGCACCTTTGTGGCTGCGGTGGGATCCATAGACTGTAGAGGCAGTACAAGCAGAGGAGGGTATTGTGGTAACCCACCCAGGTGATGGCAGTAATCTGGGGTTTTAGCTTTCAAAAATTTAAAAAAATGTACAAAAGTGGGAAGATTAGTGAATCCCGTTGCCCATGTCTCAGCTTCAGCAGTTATCGGCTCTTAGCTAATTTTGTTGAATTTCTACACCTCAGAGTCTTCTCCCATTATTTCCGGTAACACCTCTTTAGAGATACAACTTGCAAGCTATGTAGTTCCTCTATTTAAAGTATACACTTCAACGAATTTTGTACCTTCCCAAGTGTGTGCAGCCATCACCACTAATTCCAAAACACGTCCATCACTCCCAAAAGAAACTACTCTTTAGCTATCGCCCCCACTCACCACATTTCTTTTTACTGGAGTTGTAGTGTGTGACCTTTTCTGACTTCTTTTTGGGCATAGCATTTGAAAGGTTCGTTTGCGCTGTAGCATGTGTCTGTGTCTGTACTCGACTGAGTTGGTGATATTCAGGTTGTTTCCCGTGCTCTGAGTAGTGCTCCTGGGAGCATGCATATCCCATTGCCCTGGAGTGAGTACTTGGGGGTTACCCCTTTATCTTGAAGTGAGATTCAGATAGCATGTTGAAGTATTTCAGTACACATCTCTCTCAGAATGGACTTTAAACAACACGCCCACTGGGCCGAGTAGGTGTCTGCAATAGTTAATGTTGCAGTTTCCTGATGGATCCTATGTGTGCTGGGAGATGGAGGTAGAGACATGTCTCAAGGAGAATTTGCAAGTGTTTTTGTCTTGGTGACTGGAGGATAGATTTGCCTTCAGCTGGAAGCCTTTGGATAGACCTGGCTCTTGGGGACTGTAAAGAGTTTTAAGGTAATTTTTCTTTTTGCAGTGCTGGGGACAGAACCCAGGGTTGTAGGCATGCCACGAAAGTCCTGTATTGCTCAGCCACTCCTCCAGCCCTGGAAAGTTAGTTTGGAGAGGACTACTAGATTTCCAAGTAGATATATTGAGTTTGCTTTGGAGTTTGGGGAGAGGTCTACTTGGGGGCATTAATGGTGTTGAGATCGGAGTTAAAGCTCTGAGACTGGATGGGAGTACTACTGGAGTGTGTAGTTAGGGAAGAGGTCTTAGTGCAGAGCCCTGGGCATTCCAACATGAAGTGATGGGAACACATTGAAGAGGCCTGAGCTGGAGGGACAAGGGAGAGTGGGCTGTTCTGGAAGGTGAGGGGGCAGCATACCTGTGGGAGGAGGTAGGGGACAGCTGGCTCAGTTGCTGGGGATGGCTCTGGGTGTGAGTGGGCAGTGCCTGTGCTGATAGGCAAAGTGACCAAGTGGATTCCATGTCGGAGTCCACTTTCCTGCTCCTGGATACCTACCTGCGCTGGGGTTGGCCCCCTCCTCTGGGTAGTTAGAATTTGGTGCTGTGTCTCTAGCAAACAGCAGCCCAGCTAACTCAGGCTGGCAGCCCAGCTCCCACTTTCAGTTCCTTGGCACATGCTAGATATCAGAGGTACCCTTAGGCCTGTGAGTCTCCTGTGGTTGCCATAAGAAATGCCCACAAGCTTGGTGGCTTCAAATAACAGAAACTCACAGTTCCACAGGTCAGAAGTCCAAAATTAAAAGGGCAAACAAGGCTATGGCGCCTCTGCAGATTAGGAGAGGGGCCTCCTTTGTCTTTTCCAGCTGCTGGTGGCTTTCTTGTTCCTTGGCTCTTGGTCATGTCACTCCAGTGTCTACTTCTGTCTGCAGATGGCCTCTTCCCCTGTGTTTCCCTCTTTTCACCTGTGTCTTCTAATGGCATTTGTCAGGGTCCACCTACATGACTCAGGGTGGCCTCGTGTTGAGACCTTTCAGTCATGTATGCCTGAAAAGACTGTTTTTCCAAGGACAGTCACACTTGTGGAGTTAGGATGCAGACACGTGGCCTTCGGGGCTCCCATTCAGCTGCTTATGCTAGGTGAGGGCCAGGACCCTCCGCTTCTGCGTAGAGGTGTGCGGAGGGGAAGGGTTCCCAGTGCTTCTGCATTGCCCTCAGCCATAATCCTCTGCCTTCGACAAGAGCCCCCCTTCATCATCTAGGTGTGCTAGACAGAGGGATTGCTGTTCTGCTGTGAGCTGGGCCCAGGGCTCCTGCCAGCACAGGAATGCAGGAATGCGGCACAGTCCCCTGCAAAGCTCCTGCTGCCTCCTCCTCCAGGTGCTGCCTTGGTGGATGAGCAGATACCCCTGGAAGAGCCAGCTGTGTGAGATGGTGCAGCCCGGAGGCGGCCCAGCAGGGGACCAGGACGTTCTGGGTGAAGAGTCCTCTCTTGGGAAGCCGGCGATGCTGCAACTGCACACGGAGCAGGGCAGCCCTGAGGCCCTCCAGCGCTGTCTGGAGGAGAATCACGAACTCCGAGGTGAGGAATGGGGGTGGGGGTAGAGCCGCTGTTCCTCTGCTCGGCGCTGGTGGTAGCAGCTGAGCCTCTCGATTTCAGCTAGGGCTCCCTGGAAGCAGATCCTGAGTGAGATGAGTGCACAAGTAAGCGTATTTAGAGTCTCAGGACCAGGACTGGGGAAGGACAGCAGAAGGGGCGGGGTGAGCACAGGGAGAACAGGGACCCCTGGAGGTGACCAGGCCTTTCCATTTGGGCGAATGTGGCCAGGCCTGTGTCCCTGCCCATGAGTGCTGTCAGTTCAGTGAGGAATGTGGTCTACCGAGAAGGGGTCTGGCTCCCCTGGGAAGCCACCATTTCAGTGTCATTAGTGTCATTAGTATCAATGTCATCATCACTCACCACCATGGCTGAGTCTTAGCCTCAGTGGGAGGCCTTCTGTCCTCGCGCAGATGGTTGGGCACTGAGTAATTTCCTGGGCCATCCTGTGTGTCTCTGGAACATTCCCCCCATCCTGGCACCTGGTATTTGAGGGAAGCCACACACCCCATGCGTGACACCTTCCTCCCTGTCCCCTCTTCTCATTGCCTCCCCTCCTGCTCAGGGGTCAGGATCATGACCCCCAGTGTTGAAGGGATTCCCTTCTGGCCCTGCTGGTCCTTTGGCATGAGTGAGCTCCAAGTGCCCAGGAGACCACATAGCTTTTAGATCATCAGGTCACTTGCTGTGGGCACTTTGGAAACAGCCTGGGCCAGAGGTGCTAGCCGGGAGAGGCACAGACTCTAGGGATTACTGTAAGCATGACTCCTTTTTGTGCCTTGGTTCTTTTGGAGGACTTGGGTTCAGTATACATTGCATCCTGGAGGACAGCACCCCTTCCTTGCAGGATTCTTTCTTGAGCTGGTGTCTTCAGCTGGCCTTCATGTCCTAGCTGGCCAGTGGCTTAGGGTGGTGGTCCTTGGCCAGGGTAGTGTCTGCCAGTGGCGATCGGCAGGCATGTTGCCCTCCCCCCCCCCACCGTGATCTTGAAGACAGCAAAGATGCAGGCCTGGGAGGGCAGGTGCACCTTGGAGTGACCTGAAAGCAGATGAATGAAGTATGTGTTGCAGAAGCATAGGGGCAGGTCATTCATGTAATGACTGTGGAAGAGTTGAAGAAATCTTGTTTGGATGGTTATCTGTCCTGGAGAGTGGCAGTCTAGCATTGTGGGGAGGGGACCGTGTTGGGTAGCCCCACTTGGCACCCAGGCTGGGTTGTCAAGACCACCTCCCCTCTGCCGTCTCCTCTCCCCCAGATGCCATCCAGCAGAGCAACCAGATGCTGCGTGAACGCTGTGAGGAGCTGCTGCACTTCCAGGCCAGCCAGAGGGAGGAGAAAGAGTTCCTTATGTGCAAGTTCCAGGAGGCCAGGAAGCTGGTGGAGAGGCTGAGCCTGGAGAAGCTGGAGCTGAGGAAGCAGAAGGAGCAGGCCTTGCAGGAGGTGGAGCAGCTGAAGAGATGCCAGCAGGTAGCTGATGAGCAGGCTGGGTCCCTCTGGGAAACCCTGCTGTGTTCAGAAAACTGCAAGGAGCCTGTGGCTGGGGGTCCCCTGAAACATTGCAGGCTTGGCTTACCAGGGACTCTGGGACCCCACAGACTGTTAACCAAAAGGACGCCCTGGTACAGGTGTCTGGGGCAGGGGCCAGGAGAGGCCAGGCGGGAGCATCTGGGGGCCTGGGAGGTGAGGTGCAGACTGCTCGTGCGGGGGCCTTGTCACCTGGGAATCCCTCCTGAGCCCTGTGTTGCGGGGTGGGTCTTACCGGGTGGGTGGTGTAGGCTTGGAGTGCTGGGTGGCTGACGCAGGTGGCTCAGGCCCTGGCTGCCCAAGGTGCCCATGCGCATCATGGTGCCAGCATAGACTGCCTGGCAGGACCCCAGTCCCTGGTAAACCAGGGCACTTTTCACTGGGCAGGGTCTTCCGGGGCCTTAGCAGTTCCTCCCCCTCGGGGTGGGAGGGGCCCAGACTCAGGGTGTGGTTCAGTCCTGGGAGTTGTTGTCCCCAAAGGATGGTGTACTCAGTGTGGGCAAAGGAGAGTACTTCAGCCTATCTGATTTGGCCAGTGGCAGGACCCCAGTGACAGTGAGTAGGGGTGCAAAGTCTGGGAGGGCAGGGAGAAGGGGCCCTGCCACATCCAGGCTCTGGTTCTGGAGGATGGGAACTTCACTGCAGGCAGTGCCTGGCTCGGGGTTTTGCTTTTCTGTTGGGCACTTATGTGAGTTTGGCAGGACACACTGAGGAATTTCACAGTAGCAATTTCTTGTCCCACAGTTCTGGGGTCCAGGGATCTGAGGTGAAGGTGTGGCAGGCTGGGTTCCATCTAAGGCTGTGCAGGAATCCATCCCTGGCCCCGGGCCCAAGGCCTAGCAGCCCCAGCAGTCCTTGGCACTCCTGGGCTGGCGGCCTCGGCCTCTTATCATCTCAAGGCCGCCTCCCTGTGTGTTCCCTCCTCTCTTTGTATAAGGGCTCCTGTGTCAAATAGGAACAAAAGCGGGCGATTGTCTGAGTCCCTGCAACAGGCTTTGTTCAGTGATGACTGGCAGTGGAGAAAGAGCTGAGCTCTGTAACCACCTGCAGAGGTGACCAGTGTGGGGGGGGAGTGTCCCAGAGAGACCAGGGGCTGCAGTGTGGCTCAGAGGTGGAGAGTGCATTTAGCATGGGTAGGCTCTGGAGTTCTGTTACTTTATTGGTGCTGGGACAACTTAAAGGTGGAGGGGTTGTTTGGCGCATGGCTTCAGAGGGTTCAGTCCATGGTCGGCTGCTCCAAGGCAGGAACAGTGTGGTAGAAGGGCCTGGAGGGGGAGAGCTGCTCACCCACCCACCAGCACTCCCCGCCCCACAGCAGCACAAACACGAACCCATCCATGGGTGTATTTGCTGACAATTACAGCACCCATGGTCTAGTCACTTTCCAAAGCCCCACCTCTGGATATAGGCAGTTGGGGACACTCTAGATCCAGCTTCTGACAGGTTCTACCTCCAGCATCTAAAGAACAGAGAGAGGGAAGGAGGTGAGGAGGGAGGGAGAAAAGTGTGTTGGGTGGGAAAGGAAGCTTAAGTGAAAAAAGACTAAGGGTGTCAGTGAGATACAAATCAGAGTTAGGACCGTGCCCTCCCCTGGAGCCCTCGGGACTCCGGTCCTGGCCCTTCTGGGCAGTTCCATGCACTGCTGAGGTGTGGCATGTGTAGATATCTCAGAGGGACAGAAGGATTCAGCAAGGGCTCCAGGGAAGATCAGAGACCTGTGTCAGGTGTGGCCAGAGCTTCCCAGACAGAGCTGGGCAGAGCCTGGGCCATCCTAGGAGCATGGCCAGGGCTGCCAGGAGCTGTGTTGCATTTGATCAGGCTACAGTGCAGTACATTTCATGGTGTGTGGTTTTTGCAGTTCTTGGCGTTTGCTAAGATTCCACAGCCACCCCTGATTGGCCAAGCCTCTCACCTTCTTACAGCCCCAGGCCTGTGGGTTGGGCCTTTTTTTGTTTTGTTTTGTTTTGTTTTGCTTTTGATCGGGAATCTAACTCAGGACCTTGTACTTGCCAGGTGGGTGCTGTGCCACTGAGCTACATCCCTGGCCCCAGGGCCTGTGTTTTTGTTGGCTGGCTTCAGGTCCCAAAACAGCTGAAAGGTTCCTGCTTGGGCCACAGCCACGTGGTCTCTGTGTTCAGCCCACATGGTCTGGTGGCCAGGGCAGTGGCCAAGGTGTTGCAGTGTCCAGGGCTCTAGGAGCTCTGTGCCCCTGCATCCCTTTGGCGTCTCCTGTCACCTCAGCCACAGGGATGGGGAGGACACTGGATGCGAGGGCTCCTAGGAATCCATCCTTTCCCGTTGCCTGGCTTGCCTTGCTGGCTTGGGCAGCTGCTGGAGGTGGAGTGGGGTGGTGGGACACCATAGAGTGCTGCTCTGCCAGGAGTGGGGGTCGAGGTGGAGACTTGGGGAGGTCTCTGAGACATTTGTGTGCCTGGGTTTGGGGGTGCTGGGTGCAGGAGAGAAGCCTTCAGGTATGTGGGCCTCAGTGCTGACAGGAAGTGATTCTCCTGCAGCAGATGGCCGAGGACAAGGCTTCTGTGAAAGCCCAGGTGACATCCTTGTTGGGGGAACTCCAGGAAAGCCAGAGCCGCTTGGAGGCCGCCACCAAAGAAAGGCAGGCTTTGGAGGCCAGGTGAGTGGGATTTCAAGGGCCCCAGCCCCAGCATCTTGGAGGACCAGAGGTGTGGTGTCCATTCTGGCTGAGGGTCACAGTGCCAGTGCAGGAGCCCAGGGAGGTTGGAGAAGCCTTGCAGAGGACACTGCAGCTGTGCCCCATCCCTGCTCGTCTGGCAGGCGGGTCAGGTGGGGCCTGTGCCAGACGTGCAGAGATGCCCGGCCTGTGCTGCGGAAGGTGGGTGCTCGGGGTAGGCCTCATGGCTTGGCCAGATTAGTGCAGTGCGGCCCAGCCTAACGCCTGCCCAGCACCTCATTGGCAAAGAGGGTTTGGTGGCTATAAGTGGGACATTGGGTTAGAAAGCAGGGATGCTACTGTGGTTCTTGCTGCCTTGTTATGTTTTCCACGTTTGGGTGCAGGGGTTGCAGGGTGCTCGGCCCTCTGTGTGCCTCTTCCTGCGTAGGGCACGGGTGGCCAGCGAGCAGGTGCGGCAGCTGGAGAAGGAGCGTGAGGCGCTGCAGCAGCAGCACAGTGTGCAGGTGGACCAGTTGCGCATGCAGAACCAGAGCATGGAGGCTGCACTGCGCATGGAGCGCCAGGCCGCCTCGGAGGAGAAGTGAGTGGGTGCTGGGATGTCCCACCTGGCCACGGGTCTCTGGGCCCCTGGGATCGGCCGCACCGCAGTCCCCACGCATCATCTACTACATGGCTGTGCTGCTGCTCTCCCACTGAGTGCCCTTTCAGTGTCCTTTAATCCAGGGGGGCCTCCTTTCCTTTCTTGGATTTCGTGAAGCTGATACTTTTGATGAATACAGGTTGAGTCCATTTGATCACAGTCACCTCACTTCCTTGTCTTTCTTTTGGTGCTGGGCCTCTCATGTACCGGACAAAGCTTCTGCCACCCCACACCACCTGCACCCTTGGTGCAGACATTTTAAAATGTTGGCTTTAAAGAAAACGATATGATCTAAGTGACCATGTCAGTTGTGGAAAACACTTGCAGTCCTGTCTCAGAGGTGGCTGCCTTAGGGGTCCAGCTGGGTGCCTGGAGTCTGGGAGGTGGATGCAGGCCTGAGACCAGCCATAGCTTTTGTTCCGCAGGCGGAAGCTGGCCCAGCTGCAGGTGGCCTATCACCAGCTCTTCCAGGACTATGATAACCACATCAAAAGTAGCGTGGTGAGCTGTGAGCGCAAGCGAGTGAGTATGATAGCCTGGGCCATCCAGGGTGGGCCTTGGCTCTTCTTGTCATCACAACCCAGTTGGCCTTTGGGAAGGGACAGTGTGTGTAGCCTCAACAGTTCAGGAAAGGCCACTGGACAGGCCTTGGGGTGGGCGTGGCCCGGCCTTGGGATGCTCTCCCTGGAGGGCTAGAGACACACTTGTCCCTGAGACCAGGTTTCCTGAGCCAGGGTGCATCTGAGGAATGCTCCTATCCTGGTGTGGTAAGATGGCTGGGAGCCCTCTCCTAGACTGTCCTTACTAGCCCTAAACTGGTGATTATGTGTTAAGAAGGACATTGTCAATGTGAATGCACCCAGAGGAGCTTTGTAAGGATTATGCCTGAAACCAGGTCATAGGAGGAAGAGTTATAAAAATGACCACTTAATCAGTCTCAGGAGAGTGCGCATGTGCGTGTGTGTACATGTGGGGCCCCTGTGGGAGAGGTGGGCAGAGCCAGAGTGCCAGAGTGGGGGACCAGTAGGAGGTGGCTTAGCTGTGTGTGCAGGGGAGGAGGGTGTCCCCGTCTTTGAAGGGTCACAGGTCTGTCTGGCTGGTGACTCTGAGGGGAATGCGTATGGGGGAGGTGGCACCCCCTGGCCTCAGAGGTCCCCAGTCCTGAGTCCCCCATGGGTCCCAAGGAGAACCTTGCCTCCTTCTGTCCTGGGCTGGGGCAGGACGTGGGCCTCTCCTCACCCACATTGGGGTCACTCTGGTGCTTGCTGTCCTCACTGTGCCCCTGCCCTGCTAGGGGATGCAGCTGGAGGACCTGAAGCAGCAGCTGCAGCAGGCTGAGGAGGCCCTTGTGGCCAAGCAGGAGGTGATTGACAAGCTGAAGGAGGAGGCCGAGCAGCACAAGATGGTGATGGAGACAGTGCCGGTCCTAAAGGCACAGGTGAAGCCCTCTTCTAGGCATCATCTCTCGTGGCCTCGTGTTCTGTGGCCCACACTGCTTCTGCCTCTCCGTGCCTGCTGGGTCACTTGCTGGCTTGTCTGCTCCCTCCGTTGCTGGGGACAGGGGGTTGGTTCCCTGCTCTGTCCCCAGGGCCCAGGAGGGCATGTCAGCATGTGGCCGGCGGCTGGTGGCACATCCCTCTTGTACCTGCCAGGCGGACATCTATAAGGCTGACTTCCAGGCAGAGCGACAGGCCCGGGAGAAACTGGCCGAGAAGAAGGAGATGCTGCAGGAGCAGCTGGAACAGCTGCAGCGTGAGTTCGGCAAGCTCAAGGCCAGCTGCCAGGAGTCGGCCAGGTGGGGCTGGTGTGGGTCCTCCCCTCTCCCCGTGGCCACTCCAGGGGGAGCTCCAAACCCTGTCTGCGTATGCGCTGAGCGAACAGTTTGCGTCTCCCCCAGGATCGAGGACCTGAGGAAGCGGCATGTAGAGGTCCCGCAGCCTGCCCTGCTCCCTACCTCTGGTCAGTGGTGTGCGTTGGGAGCTGGCCCCGTCTCTGGAGGGAGGTTGTGCTGGGGAGGCTGCTGGTCACACGTGGATAAGGGACCCTTCCAGCCCATGCCCCAGTACCTCGCTGTCCCCTGTTCCTCTGACATCCAGCTGGCCTGTTCTCTGTCCCCAGTGCACCATTCCTTTCACATGCCCAACCAGAGGAGGAGTCCCCCTGAGGAGCCCCCCGACTTTTGCTGTCCCAAGTGCCAGTATCAGGCCCCTGACATGGACACCCTGCAGATCCACGTCATGGAGTGCATCGAGTAGGACCTGCGGCTGCCACACGTGGGACCTTGCCACCTCTGCCACCCTTCCCAGTCCAGAATCCAGAATTGGTGCCAAAGAGCGGGCCTAGTAGGTAGCTGGCCTCAGCTCTCTGCTCTTCCACTCTTCTCCTTCCCTTCTGTCTGCCTGAACTGCTGGTCTCTCCTGCCAGCCCCCAGAATCCAAGATGGAGAGGCCCTAGATCTGGGTACCTCCCCAGCGCCCGCCCCAGCACTGCCTCTCCTGGCGGAACTCCCACGTGGCAGCTGCCCCGCAGCCTTCACCCAGTGCCGCTGATGGATTGTTTCTGCTCATAAACAATGGTGCAGTGAAAATGCTGGCGCACTAAGCATGCGTGTCTTTGGGATAGAGGCCAAGAGGTAGAGCTGTGACCTCCGAGGGATGGGTGGGTGGACCTCTGGTTTGCGGCCATCCCCTGGGCCCTTTTCCCCCAAGAGTGAAGTCTCTTTCCCCAGGGCGTGGGGCCCTTTTACTCTGGCTGTGAGCAGGCTGCACTTATTTTTCAGCCATTTTTCTATTGGATTGTTGCCTTTTCATTCTCAGTTTTTAGCAGCACTGTGGTCATTAGGCAAGAGGGCCTCTTGTCTGTGACAGAAACTGTATACCTTTTTCCACTTTGTTTTTGCTACCAGTGGTTTTTGGCCTTCAAGGTTTTTTGTGTTTTTAAGACAAGGTCTCACTGTATCCCAGGCTGGGCTCGAACTTCTGATCTTCTTGCCTTAGCCTCCTGGGGTGCTGGGATTACAGGTGTGCACACATTGCCTGGCAGAGGTTTGTATCTTTATGTAGTTAACGTCCATTTTCTCCCTTGTATGGCTTTGGGTTTGGAGTTGCCAGCCCTCTGTGGTCTGCCAGGGGGGTGCTTCATGCTTGTACACTTTTCTTTGCCTTTGCGTATATTGCCTGGTGTCAGTGGTGGCCACAGTCCATCATGTTCTAGAAGCTGGTGATGCCACATCCTCCCCCGACCCCAAGCACCCCGGCCTTACAAGTGGAAGTCAGTTGGCACTGTTGGGTAGATCAGGAACAGTAGGGCATTCTTCACTCTGTGAGAGGTTCTGGGCACTCGGAGGATGGCACAGCAATTCTGATGCATGGAAAAAATTGGAAGTTGGAAAGGCCTGCAGTGCACGTGCAGCCCCAGCGCTGCCCGTGCCACCCCTACTCTCTGGACCAGGACTTCCTCCTGTGTGCCTGTGAGAGGCCTGGCTCCTTAGGCTCTGAGACCTGTAGAGATCAGCCTGAGTCTAGGGGCAGCGAGCAGCCTTTCCGTTTCCTGAAGTCCGGGCATATTACCACCCCAGACTTGGGAAAGTGATGAAGGCACAGATAGGTTCTGTCATGGGTATTGCATTTCAGTCCTGGTCTTGCAACTTTTTTGCAAGAGCGCTGATAGTTCTGTTTTGCCATAAACCTGCTTTAAGAAAACAAAAACTCATTCTTTTCTATTTGGAAACCAGAATCTAAAGGGAGTTTGTTTGGTTTTCTTTTTCTTTTCTCCTCCTCTTCCACCATCATCTCCTCCCCCTCCTCCCCCCTCTCCCCG